CGGCGAGGTCCCCTGGGGCTGCGGGCTGCCCCCTCTCCACCCAGCCTGACCTCTGCTCCTTCTCTTCCCTCCTTCCACCCTCACATCCTTCCACAGTGGCAACAGCAAAGGAAAGGATATCAACACGATTAAATCCCTCCGAGTCCTCCGGGTGCTACGACCTCTTAAAACCATCAAGCGATTGCCAAAGCTCAAGGTGAGATTAGGGGATGGGGGAGGGGCCTGACCGAGCGGCCATGTACGGTTGAGCAGGTTGCCTGCTGCTCAAGGACACCATGTTGAAGGAGAGAGGCTTATACCATCCCAGCCATCCTGTATGGATATGTGTATTGTTACGACTCGCCAGCAGATGGCGGTAAAGTGAGCTGACCTAATGCAATCAGACTGTGGCTGTTTTTCATGCGGTGAAATGTCTCCAGGTCAGGATACCTTTTGCTAATTCACATGAAGGCATCATATGACTTTTTTAAAGGGGCCAGGTGCACTGGCTCATGCCTATGTTCTCAGCACTTTGGGAGGCCAGGCAGGAAGATTGCTTGAGTCCAGGAGTTTGAGACCAGCCTGGAAAACATAGCAAGACCCCATCTCTACAAAAAAATCAAAAAATTAGCCGGGCATGGTGGCACGTGCCTATAGTCCCAGTTACTCAGGAGGCTGAAGGAGGAGGATTGTCTGAGCCCAGGAGGTCGAGGCTGCGGTGAGCTGTGATCATGCCACTGCACTCCAGCCTGGGCAACAGAGTGAGACCCCAACTCAAAAAAAAAAACAGGAAGCGTGTCTGCCCTTTGGAAGTGAATGCTTGCATTGTAACATGAGTCCCACTGGGCACGGTGGCTCACACCTGTAATCCCAGCACTTTGGGAGGCGGAGGCAAGAGGATTGCCTGAGTCCAGGGTTTTGAGACCAACCTGGGCAACTTGGCAGGACCTCGTCTCTACAAGAAGTCTCACACACACACACACACAAAAATGAACCGAGTGTGGTGGCGCTTGCCTGTGGTTCCAGCTACTTGGAAGGCTGAGGCAGAAGGATCGCCGGAGCCCAACAGGTCGAGTCTGGGGTGGCCATGAGCATGCCTGCCACTGTTTTACAGCCTGGGCAACAAAATGAGACTCTGACTCAAAAAAAAAAAAGAAAAGAAAGAAATTCCTGCGGGGTCCAGTTCAGTGGCTCTGTGCTGTCTCCTGGGTCACAGCCCCCTTTGAAAGTTTCCTGAATGCTCCATACCCTCTACCCTGGGGAAAAATGGGCAAAGCCCACCCATAATTCTAGTGGGTTCGGCAAGTTCTGAATGCCCGTGTGTTGGCTGGGACCTACTGCAGCTAGGCAGAATGGGAGCTGTTCTGAAGAGCCCAGTGGAAGTCCAGGAGCCCCAGGCAGTGTCGGGGACAGAGCTGCAGTTGGCACAGTGGGGCCTGGGACCCCTGCCTTCCCTGGGGTAGGATGGAAGGATCCCATCTTCCTCAAGGCACGTGACGTCATTGCTCAAGTCAGAGAGCCCCAGCTGCTTAGAGGGTGAAAGGGAGGAATCCACAGTCCAGCTAATGGAAACAAGGAGGGCATGAAGCAGGGACTCAGAATTGGCCGAAAGTGGAGTCTGGCACAGTGGCTCATGCCTATAATCTCAGCACTCTGGAAGGCCAAGATAGGAGGCTCACTCGGGGCCAGGAGATCAAGACCAGCCTGCACAATGGAATGAGGCCTTGTCTCTCCAAAATAATAATTTTAAAAATTATAGCCGGGCGTGGTAACGCGCGCCTGTAGTTCCGGCTACACGGAAGGCTGAGGTGGAAGGATCGCCGGAGCCCAGCAGGTCGAGGCTGCAGTGGCCGGG